TGGTGGCTGTATAGTGGCGCCTCTTACCCGCTGGTGACTGTATAGTGGCGCCTCTTACACGCTGGTGGCTGTATAGTGGCGCCTCTTACCCGCTGGTGGCTGTATAGTGGCGCCTCTTACACGCTGGTGGCTGTATAGTGGCGCCTCTTACACGCTGGTGGCTGTACAGTGGCGCCTCTTACACGCTGGTGGCTGTATAGTGGCGCCTCTTACACGCTGGTGGCTGTATAGTGGCGCCTCTTACCCGCTGGTGACTGTATAGTGGCGCCTCTTACACGCTGGTGGCTGTATAGTGGCGCCTCTTACACGCTGGTGGCTGTATAGTGGCGCCTCTTACACGCTGGTGACTGTATAGTGGCGCCTCTTACCGCGCTGTATAGTGGCGCCTCTTACACGCTGGTGACTGTATAGTGGCGCCTCTTACACGCTGGTGGCTGTATAGTGGCGCATCTTACACGCTGGTGACTGTATAGTGGCGCCACTTACACGCTGGTGACTGTATAGTGGCGCCTCTTACACGCTGGTGGCTGTATAGTGGCGCCTCTTACACGCTGGTGGCTGTATAGTGGCGCATCTTACACGCTGGTGACTGTATAGTGGCGCCACTTACACGCTGGTGGCTGTATAGTGGCGCATCTTACACGCTGGTGACTGTATAGTGGCGCCTCTTACACGCTGGTGGCTGTATAGTGGCGCCTCTTACACGCTGGTGGCTGTATAGTGGCGCCTCTTACACGCTGGTGGCTGTATAGTGGCGCCTCTTACACGCTGGTGGCTGTATAGTGGCGCCTCTTACACGCTGGTGACTGTATAGTGGCGCCTCTTACACGCTGGTGGCTGTATAGTGGCGCCTCTTACACGCTGGTGGCTGTATAGTGGCGCCTCTTACACGCTGGTGGCTGTATAGTGGCGCCACTTACACGCTGGTGGCTGTATAGTGGCGCCTCTTACACGCTGGTGGCTGTATAGTGGCGCCACTTACACGCTGGTGGCTGTATAGTGGCGCCTCTACACGCTACTGGTGGCTGTATAGTGGCGCCTCTTACACGCTGGTGGCTGTATAGTGGCGCCTCTTACACGCTGGTGGCTGTATAGTGGCGCCTCTTACACGCTGGTGGCTGTATAGTGGCGCCTCTTACACGCTGGTGGCTGTATAGTGGCGCCTCTTACACTGTATAGTGGCGCCTCTTACACGCTGGTGGCTGTATAGTGGCGCCTCTTACACGCTGGTGACTGTATAGTGGCGCCCTCTTACACTTACACGCTGGTGACTGCGCCACTGTATATAGTGGCGCCTCTTACACGCTGGTGGCTGTATAGTGGCGCCTCTTACACGCTGGTGGCTGTATAGTGGCGCATCTTACACGCTGGTGGCTGTATAGTGGCGCCACTTACACGCTGGTGGCTGTATAGTGGCGCATCTTACACGCTGGTGACTGTATAGTGGCGCCTTACACGCTGGTGGCTGTATAGTGGCGCCTCTTACACGCTGGTGGCTGTATAGTGGCGCCTCTTACACGCTGGTGGCTGTATAGTGGCGCCTCTTACACGCTGGTGGCTGTATAGTGGCGCCTCTTACACGCTGGTGGACTGTATAGTGGCGCCTCTTACACGCTGGTGGCTGTATAGTGGCGCCACTTACACGCTGGGGCTGTATAGTGGCGCCACTTACACGCTGGTGGCTGTATAGTGGCGCCACTTACACGCTGGTGGCTGTATAGTGGCGCCTCTTACACGCTGGTGGCTGTATAGTGGCGCCTCTTACACGCTGGTGACTGTATAGTGGCGCCTCTTACACGCTGGTGGCTGTATAGTGGCGCCTCTTACACGCTGGTGGCTGTATAGTGGCGCCTCTTACACGCTGGTGGCTGTATAGTGGCGCCTTCTTACATGCTGGTGACTGTATCGTGGCGCCTCTTACACGCTGGTGGCTGTATAGTGGCGCCTCTTACACGCTGGTGGCTGTATAGTGGCGCCTCTTACACGCTGGTGGCTGTATAGTGGCGCCTCTTACACGCTGGTGGCTGTATAGTGGCGCCTCTTACACGCTGGTGGCTGTATAGTGGCGCCTCTTACATGCTGGTGACTGTATCGTGGCGCCTCTTACATGCTGGTGACTGTATCGTGGCGCCTCTTACATGCTGGTGGCTGTATAGTGGCGCCTCTTACATGCTGGTGGCTGTATCGTGGCGGCTCTTACACGCTGGTGAATGTTATTGGTGCTGGCGACCACCACACTCCTCTTTGTCTGGCTCAGTGTACCCGCACGCCACTGTGTCTGGCTCAGTGTACCCGCACGCCACTGTGTCTGGCTCAGTGTACCCGCACCCCACTGTGTCTGGCTCAGTGTACCCGCACCCCACTGTGTCTGGCTCAGTGTACCCGCACCCCACTGTGTCTGGCTCAGTGTACCCGCACCCCACTCTGTCTGGCTCAGTGTACCCGCACCCCACTCTGTCTGGCTCAGTGTACCCGCACCCCACTCTGTCTGGCTCAGTGTACCCGCACCCCACTCTGTCTGGCTCAGTGTACCCGCACCCCACTCTGTCTGGCTCAGTGTACCCGCACCGCACTCTGTCCGGCTTAGTGTACCCGCACCCCACTCTGGCTCAGTGTACCCGCACCCTACTCTGTCTGGCTCAGTGTACCCGCACCCCACTCTGTCTGGCTCAGTGTACCCGCACCCCACTCTGTCTGGCTCAGTGTACCCGCACCCCACTGTGTCTGGCTCAGTGTACCCGCACGCCACTGTGTCTGGCTCAGTGTACTAGCACGCCACTGTGTCTGGCTCAGTGTACCCGCACTGTGTCTGGCTCAGTGTACCCGCACGCCACTGTGTCTGGCTCAGTGTACCCGCACGCCACTGTGTCTGGCTCAGTGTACCCGCACGCCACTGTGTCTGGCTCAGTGTACCCGCACGCCACTGTGTCTGGCTCAGTGTACCCGCACGCCACTGTGTCTGGCTCAGTGTACCCGCACCCCACTGTGTCTGGCTCAGTGTACAAGCACGCCACTGTGTCTGGCTCAGTGTACCCGCACGCCACTGTCTGGCTCAGTGTACCCGCACGCCACTGTGTCTGGCTCAGTGTACCCGCACCCCACTGTGTCTGGCTCAGTGTACCCGCCCGCCACTGTGTCTGGCTCAGTGTACCCGCACGCCACTGTGTCTGGCTCAGTGTACCCGCACGCCACTGTCTGGCTCAGTGTACCCGCACGCCACTGTGTCTGGCTCAGTGTACCCGCACCCCCAGTGTCTCTGGCTCAGTGTACCTACACCCCACTGTGCCTACAAGCCAGTGTACCTGCATACCATTCTGCCAGTATTCCCACTAACCTACATACTCAGTGTACTGGCTACAGAGGCTGGCTACTACAGTGCCAGCCTCTGTACTACTACAGTGCCAGCCTCTGTACTACTACAGTGCCAGCCTCTGTACTTATATGCACCTGGTTGATGGGGTTCTGGGAGTTCTTCTGCTCCACAAGCCCGGCCCGAGGCCAGGCTTGACTTGTGAGAGTTTGGTCCACCAGGCTGTTGCTTGGAGCGGCCCGCAGGCCCACATACCCACCACAGCCCGGTTGGTCCGGCACTCCTTGGAGGAAACAATCTAGTTTCCTCTTGAAGATGTCCACGGTTGTTCCGGCAATATTTCTTATGCTCGCTGGGAGGACGTTGAACAACCGTGGACCTCTGATGTTTATACAGTGTTCTCTGATTGTGCCTATGGCACCTCTGCTCTTCACTGGTTCTATTCTGCATTTTCTTCCATATCGTTCACTCCAGTACGTTGTTATTTTACTGTGTAGATTTGGGACCTGGCCCTTCATTAGTTTCCAGGTGTATATTATTTGGTATGTCTCTCGTCTCCTTTCTAGTGAGTACATTTGGAGAGCTTTGAGACGATCCCAATAATTTAGGTGCTTTATCGCGTCTATGCGTGCCGTATATGTTCTCTGTATTCCCTCTATTTCAGCAATCTCTCCTGCTCTGAAGGGGAAAGTGAGTACTGAGCAGTACTCGAGACGGGACAACACAAGTGACTTGAAGAGTACAACCATTGTGATGGGATCCCTGGATTTGAAAGTTCTCGTAATCCATCCAATCATTTTTCTGGCTGACGCAGTATTTGCTTGGTTATGCTCCCTAAACATTCAACCCGTTCTCGCAAATTCGTAAAGTCAATATTGACTTATTAACTACGTGCATAGGTGATATACTAAACATAATAGATACCCTTAAAAAGATTCATAGAAAACACCGACCTTACCTAACCTTTTTAGTATGTTAAGTTAAGCATCTTATTGCTTCGTAATTACAATTATTACTTAACCTATTATAGGTATAGGTTAAATAATAATTACTTTACAATTATTACTTGACCTATACCTATAATAGGTTAAGTAATTATTATTTAACCTATACCTATAATAGGTTAAGTAATAATTGTAATTACGAAGCAATAAGATGCTTAACTTAACATACTAAAAAGGTTAGGTAAGGTCGGTGTTTTCTATGAAGCTTTTCAAGGTAAATTAGTATGTTTAGTATGTCACATATGCACGTATTTAATAAGTCAATATTAACTATACGAAAGTGCGAGAACGAGTTGTACATGTAGCGCAAGTGACGTGGTCACACTTGGTACAGATAAAGAGTGCGAGCCCGCGTCATGCGCGAGAGCGTGCCGCAGGGCTCTCACACAATATAATGGAAGGCGGAACTAGAAGACTCATCACCACAGACGCCACAATAGTGTCAATTGTGCACCAGAGTCAAGATGGAGCCACCCAACAATGCCAGCAACAGGAAGTGAGGCAATGTGCGGCGCTCACACAACCAACATTACTCAGTGTTGTGAGACACTGCTCACACACGGACCCTTAGACTTGTCGAAGAGAAGGGAGAGCTCTTCCACAAGCTCTTCTGTTGCTCGGTGCACACAGGTGACGGAACCAGTGTAGTCGATGGCAACACCCTGACACCCTCACTATACCTCCAGCCAACACTGACACCCTCACTATACCTCCAGCCAACACCCTCACTATACCTCCAGCCAACACCCTCACTATACCTCCAGCCAACACCCTCACTATACCTCCAGCCAACACCCTCACTATACCTCCAGCCAACACCCTCACTATACCTCCAGCCAACACCCTCACTATACCTCCAGCCAACACCCTCACTATACCTCCAGCCAACACCCTCACTATACCTCCAGCCAACACCCTCACTATACCTCCAGCCAACACCCTCACTATACCTCCAGCCAACACCCTCACTATACCTCCAGCCAACACCCTCACTATACCTCCAGCCAACACCCTCACTATACCTCCAGCCAACACCCTCACTATACCTCCAGCCAACACCCTCTTTATACCTCCAGCCAACACTGACACCCTCACTATACCTCCAGCCAACACCGACACCCTCACTATACCTCCAGCCAACACTGACACCCTCACTATACCTCCAGCCAACACTGACACCCTCACTATACCTCCAGCCAACACTGACACCCTCACTATACCTCCAGCCAACACCCTCTTTATACCTCCAGCCAACACCCACACTATACCTCCAGCCAACACTGACACCCTCACTATACCTCCAGCCAACACCCTCTTTATACCTCCAGCCAACACTGACACCCTCACTATACCTCCAGCCAACACCCTCTTTATACCTCCAGCCAACACCCTCACTATACCTCCAGCCAACACCCTCACTATACCTCCAGCCAACACCCTCTTTATACCTCCAGCCAACACTGACACCCTCACTATACCTCCAGCCAACACCCTCTTTATACCTCCAGCCAACACTGACACCCTCAGTATACCTCCAGCCAACACCCTCTTTATACCTCCAGCCAACATTGACACCCTCACTATACCTCCAGCCAACACCCTCACTATACCTCCAGCCAACACTGACACCCTCACTATACCTCCAGCCAACACTGACACCCTCACTATACCTCCAGCCAACACCCTCACTATACCTCCAGCCAACACTGACACCCTCACTATACCTCCAGCCAACACTGACACCCCTCACTATACCTTCAGCCAACACCCTCTTTATACCTCCAGCCAACACTGACACCCTCACTATACCTCCAGCCAACACCCTCACTATACCTCCAGCCAACACTGACACCCTCACTATACCTCCAGCCAACACTGACACCCTCACTATACCTCCAGCCAACACCCTCTTTATACCTCCAGCCAACACTGACACCCTCACTATACCTCCAGCCAACACTGACACGCTCACTATACCTCCACCCAACACTGACACGCTCACTATACCTCCACCCAACACTGACACGCTCACTATACCTCCAGCCAACACTGACACCCTCACTATACCTCCAGCCAACACCCTGACACCCTCACTATACCTCCACCCAACACTGACACCCTCACTATACCCCCAGCCAACACTGACACCCTCACTATACCTCCAGCCAACACCCTGACACCCTCACTATACCTCCACCCAACACTGACACGCTCACTATACCCCCAGCCAACACTGACACCCTCACTATACCCCCAGCCAACACCCTGACACCCTCACTATACCTCCAGCCAACACTGACACCCTCACTATACCTCCAGCCAACACCCTCACTATACCTCCAGCCAACACTGACACCCTCACTATACCTCCAGCCAACACCCTCACTATACCCCCAGCCAACACCCAGTAACTTGCCTCCACTGAACAATTGACAAGTGTTCACTATGGTCTGTACGAAGATAATGAGGTGTCATGGGCAGTCTCTCAAACTGTAATCGCATTGACCGCTCTTCACTGATCTTCACGGCATTACCACGTTACTGATCTTCACCTCCGAGTTTTCGTAGCAACATGGAGCGGTGCTCTAACGGAGCACCGTTGTGCACAGGCACGTGTCTCCACCTGTGGAACACAGGGGCCTGGTAGCCTGGTGGATAGCGCGCAGGACTCGTAATTCTGTGGCGCGGGCTCGATTCCCACTCCAGGCAGAAACAAATGGGCTTAGTTTCTTTCACCCTGAATGCCCCTGTTACCTAGCAGCAAATAGGTACCTGGGAGTTAGTCAACTGTCACGGGCTGCTTCCTGGGGTGTGTGTGTGTGTGGTGTGGGGAATAAACACAAATATTATAGTCTGTCCCGTATTCCACCATTTAAACTTGTTTCAAGTCACAAAATGTCTTTAGAATTATTTCTCTTCTAAACTGGCCCAGGTATTGTTTCTACGGAGGTGAGATTGTTTTTACTACTACTGCACCAGAGGTCAAACTAATTCCATTGTGGAACTCTGTGAGAAAGTCTTCCTTTTTGTATGAGCACTCGTGCCCTCGTGCACTCGGCCTCAACACCGCTGCCACCACCGTCTCCCGCTCTTGGCTCATCAACTTTCCCTTAACACCAGAAGAGGGCGCGGGGCGGGGCTCAGGGGGCCGGCGCCTCACCCAGCCAAAGACATAAGTATCGAGGCATCACCAAGGGCTGTGTGCCGAACGTGACGACCGTGGGACAGGGGGGACGACCGTGGGACAGGGGGGACGACCGTGGGACAGGGGGACGACTGTGAGACTGGGGGACGACTGTGAGACTGGGGGACGACCGTGGGACAGGGGGGACGACCGTGGGACAGGGGGGACGACCGTGGGACAGGGGGGACGACCGTCTACCACACGTGGTCACAATGTTATCAGACACTTCCCTACGCAAGAGAGAACTTCCCTTTCAAGAGAGAACTGGATAAGCACCTCCAAAGGATACCTGATCAACCAGGCTGTGACTCATACGTCAGGCTGCGAGCAGCCGCGTCTAACAGCCTGGTTGATCAGTCCAGCAACCAGGAGGCCTGGTCGACGACCGGGCCGCGGGGACACTAAGCCCCGGAAGCACCTCAAGGTAGCCTCAAGGTAGGTAGGTACGACCTCCATGGTCAGGGTTAGAGATATACTACACATGGGTACAAAACACAATCAAATGTACCCATAGTAGGAAAACAGCATGTAAAGGATTTGGGAATAATGATGTCCGACGACCTAACGTTTAAGGAGCATAACCAAGCAAATATTGCGACAGCCAGAAAAATGATCGGATGGATTACGAGAACCTTCAAGTCCAGAGATCCCATCACAATGGTTGTACTCTTCAAGTCACTTGTGTTGTCCCGTCTCGAGTACTGCTCAGTACTCACTTCCCCCTTCAGAGCATGAGAGATTTCTGAAATAGAGGGAATACAGAGAACATATACGGCACGCATAGACGAGATGAAACACCTAAATTATTGGGATCGTCTCAAAGCTCTCCAAATGTACTCACTAGAAAGGAGACGAGAGAGATACCAAATAATATACACCTGGAAAATACTGGAGGGCCAGGTCCCAAATCTACACAGTAAAATAACAACGTACTGGAGTGAACGATATGGAAGAAAATGCAGAATAGAACCAGTGAAGAGCAGAGGTGCCATAGGCACAATCAGAGAATACTGTATAAACATCAGAGGTCCGCGGTTGTTCAACATCCTCCCAGCGAGCATAAGAAATATTGCCGGAACAACCGTGGACATCTTCAAGAGGAAACTAGATAGTTTTCTCCAAGGAGTGCCGGACCAACCAGGCTGTGGTGGGTATAAGGGCCTGCGGGCCGCTCCAAGCAACAGCCTGGTGGACCAAACTCTCACAAGTCAAGCCTGGCCTCGGGCCGGGCTTGGGGAGTAGAACAACTCCCAGAACCCCATCAACCAGGTATATGTGGGCCTGCGGGCCGCTCCAAGCAACAGCCTGGTGGACCAAACTCTCACAAGTCAAGCCTGGCCTCGGGCCGGGCTTGGGGAGTAGAACAACTCCCAGAACCCCATCAACCAGGTGTCAACCAGCTATTGTATCTTGTAACACTGTACTTTTATTCTTTGTTGTCAGTGCGGATCATTGAGTTCAAACTGGTGTAATTTGATGTTGGACGCGTAATGTATAAGGTAATTTTAACCATATAAATTACATGTACAAAGACAGTTGTATTGCAGGTGTTAAAGTAACTTTTATTGTTTTGTTAAATTTAACCTTTGTATTTAAGCTTGGCTTTGACGGGCCACCTGTTTCCCCATATTCACATTGATGTTTGAATGTGGCTTATTGTTATCTTATGCTTGGTAAAGCAGACCCTCGGTTGGGTATACAACCTAACAACAGGCTTGCAGAAAATAGCCGTTAGCAGCCAAGATGATGGACCTACTCACCTGGCCGCCCTCTTGCTGCTTGCTGGTGCGTCCTCGAACCTAAATTCTGAGTACGTACTAATATATCCCAATCATCGAAATTTTGGCAAGTTATGAGTATCTCGATTTGGCTTTTCACGTATGAAAGTGTGGCAACAGGTCGTAGGTCTTCAGAGTATTAGAAAGTAGGGTGGGGAGTCTAAACATGTTGGGCAGCACTGGTGTACGTGTGTCATAAACTCTGATCAAGTGAATGTCGAAAAAAATGATGAAAATGTTCCGCGAGAAGCAATCACACAGCCTACAGTTATGTCATTAAACACTACGATGAATGTAATGGAGAAATTTATATACGGGAATATAGCCTGCATTCTGTGATGCCGTGTTATAATGGTGAGGACATACCTGGTTGATGAGGTTCTGGGAGTTCTTCTACTCCCCAAGCCCGGCCCGAGGCCAGGCTTGATACAATACTTAACGCCGCGACTCTTAATGAGCCGCCGTGACAATTCACCAAGATCTATCATGTTACTCCAGCAGAGCGCCTCACCTCACTGACTAACCCGGTCGGCGTCTGGAAGACGTCGACCAACCTGCCTCCTGGAGGGCAGGTGGCGTCATGGCCAGCTATACCCTGTCGGTGGCTAAACGACCCTGTCAGTGGCTAAACTGCCCTGTCGGTGGCTAAACTGCCCTGTCGGTGGGTAAACGACCCTGTCGGCGGGTAAACTACCCTGACGGTGGCTAAACTACCCTGTCATTGGCTAAACGACCCTGTCGGTGGCTAAACTGTCCTGTCGGTGGCTAAACTGCCCTGTCGGTGGCTAAACTGCCCCTGTCGGTGGCTAAACGACCCTGTCGGTGGCTAAACTGCCCTGTCGGTAGCTAAACGGCCCTGTCGGTGGCTAAACTGCCCCTGTCGGTGGCTAAACTGCCCCTGTCGGTGGCTAAACTGCCCCTGTCGGTGGCTAAACTGGCCCTGTCGGTGGCTAAACTGGCCCTGTCGGTGGCTAAACTGGCCCTGTCGGTGGCTAAACTGCCCTGTCGGTGGCTAAACTGGCCCTGTCGGTGGCTAAACTGCCCCTGTCGGTGGCTAAACGACCCTGTCGGTGGCTAAACTGCCCTGTCGGTGGCTAAACGACCCTGTCGGTGGCTAAACGGCACTGTCGGTGGCTAAACGGCACTGTCGGTGGCTAAACTGCCCTGTCGGTGACTAAACGACCCTATCAGTGGCTAAACACTCAGCCCCAGGTGCAGGAACGCCAGAAATATATAAACAAAGAACATGGTGTGACCTATTATTACACGAAGTATTTAACAATATACACATGAAGCAGGATTTCTTGAGGTTATCTTGAGATGATTTCGGGGCTTTAGTGTCCCCGCGGCCCGGTCCTCGGCCAGGCCTCCACCCCCAGAAAGCAGCCCGTGACAGCTGACTAACATCCAGGTACCTATTTTACTGCTAGGTAACAGGGGCATAGGGTGAAAGAAACTCTGCTCAGTGTTTCTCGCCGGCGCCTGGGATCGAACCCGGGACCACAGGATCACAAGTCCAGCGTGTTGTCCGCTCGGCCGACCGGCTCCCTGGTACATAAGCCTCGTGACTGGACTTAGAGCCATCGATGACAGGCTTAAGAGAAGCCGGTACCCAAACAATGAGGTAATTGTGTGACGACGTCAACAGTCTCACGCCTCGTGTGATCCTAACACTGTGTAGTATCCCTACATATGTGGCAGATCTGGCATCCTTTAATACACACCTGTGGGTAACCTTGCAGGTGTGTATCTCTATACACACCTGCTGAATGTAGACACACAGCTAAGCCACACCTGCTACAGTATCCAAGACCAACCTTGCCCACCCCCACACCCCTCTCTCCCCCTTACCATTAACCGCTCCCCTTTTGCCTATTTTATAATTTGTCCCTGAACACTTCCCCTCATCTCTGACAAGGTACTATCTCTGGCCTGCCTCCCCCCCACCCCTCCTCTCCCCTCGGCTATCCCTAAGGGTGTAGTGTTGTAGTGCTGGTGTAGTGGTTGTGTGGTGATAGTGTAGTGAGGTGTGGTAGTGTAGTATGGTAGTGGTGGCGGCACCACACACACACACACACACACACACACACACACACACACACACACACACACACACACACACACACACACACACACACACACACAGCTAGACCCACCAACCTGTACCCATCACCCGGGAATGAGACAAGAGAGAGCTCCAGCTCTCGCTGGCAGAGGACCCGCAGACGGCGAGTATTGTTCTGTGTCTGTAGCCGCCCCGTGACCTCGGGGGACCCGCCCCGTGACCTCGGGGGACCCGCCCCCTCGACTCTACTACTTACAATTAATTAAAAATATCGACAAATTCTTCAGAGCGACGTCCTGGCTTGCCTCGAAGGGGTCACTCTTACATGTGTCTTACTGATCCACCCTGACCTCCTTCAGGAGGTGGACATCTTCCCACCCCCCCAGGAGGCGGACATCTTCCCACCCCCCCAGGAGGCGTGAAGCCATTATTGGTCAGTGAAGCTATTTGTGTTAGCCTCCGGCATTGTACGCCCCCCCCCCCCTTCATGATGGGACTATAATGCCACATATATCCGAGGCTCACACCCCTACCTTAACATTACATTATGTATACCTTCAGCTTATACTTACAGAAACGGCTTTACCTCTTGTTGAACTATTCCAGCCTCTTGTTCAATCGCCAGAATACACTGTGTCCCTCCCCCCCTTTCTCTCCCTCTCCCTCTAGTCTTAGAAATGTATTTCATAAACTGGTAGTTAAAATATGTCTCTTAGATGGTCACCATTATTTAGTTCTCGGATATTATTTAAGTCAAGAGCTCACAGATGTTGACAATACGGAGGCCAGTAACCGGACATTAACTTGATGTTAAATAGTCGAGTAATATATTTGTAGTGTTTAAGTATAGGAGCTACACCAAGTTACATCTTAACATTTGGAAGTGTATTGGAGTTTTCTGGGGTGCGGCCAGCCGGGGGTGCGTCCAGCCGGGGGTGCGGCCAGCCGGGGGTGCGGCCAGCCGGGGGTGCGGCCAGCCGGGGGGTGCGGCCAGCCGGGGGTGCGGCCAGCCGGAGGTGCGTCCAGCCGAGGGTGCGGCCAGCTGGAGGTGCGTCCAGCCGAGGGTACGGCCAGCCGGGGGTGCGTCCAGCCGAGGGTGCGGCCAGCCGGGGGGTGCGGCCAGCCGGGGGTGCGGCCAGCCGGGGGGTGCGGCCAGCCGGGGGTGCGGCCAGCCGGGGGGTGCGGCCAGCCGGGGGTGCGGCCAGCCGGGGGGTGCGGCCAGCCGGGGGGTGCGGCCAGCCGGGGGTGCGCCCCAGGAAACAGGTGGAGGGCGAGGACTGTGATAGGGGCCCCGCATCCCGCCCCGGGAGGAACCTTTTATCCAGTTGAAGAACAAGACGACCTCTCTTACCATTTTATAATATTACCAGCTTGCATTTACGGGTGTGGTAGTGAGGGCCCCTTGCTACCTGGCACGAGTACCACGGGGTGATGCTGGGGGCCAGGCTGGACCAGGAGGACCAGGGAGGACCAGGCTGGACCAGGAGGACCAGGCTGGACCAGGAGGACCAGGCTGTACCAGGGAGGACCAGGCTGTACCAGGGAGGACCAGGCTGTACCAGGGAGGACCAGGCTGTACCAGGGAGGACCAGGCTGGACCAGGGAGGACCAGGCTGTACCAGGGAGGACCAGGCTGTACCAGGAGGACCAGGCTGGACCAGGGAGGACCAGGCTGTACCAGGAGGACCAGGCTGTACCAGGAGGACCAGGCTGTACCAGGGAGGACCAGGCTGTACCAGGAGGACCAGGCTGTACCAGGAGGACCAGGCTGTACCAGGGAGGACCAGGCTGTACCAGGGAGGACCAGGCTGTACCAGGAGGACCAGGCTGTACCAGGGAGGACCAGGCTGTACCAGGAGGACCAGGCTGGACCAGGGAGGACCAGGCTGTACCAGGAGGACCAGGCTGTACCAGGAGGACCAGGCTGTACCAGGAGGACCAGGGAGGACCAGGCTGGACCAGGGAGGACCAGGCTGTACCAGGGAGGACCAGGCTGGACCAGGGAGGACCAGGCTGTACCAGGAGGACCAGGCTGTACCAGGAGGACCAGGCTGTACCAGGAGGACCAGGCTGTACCAGGGAGGACCAGGCTGGACCAGGGAGGACCAGGCTGGACCAGGGAGGACCAGGCTGGACCAGGGAGGACCAGGCTGGACCAGGGAGGACCAGGCTGGACCAGGGAGGACCAGGCTGTACCAGGGAGGACCAGGCTGGACCAGGGAGGACCAGGCTGTACCAGGGAGGACCAGGCTGGACCAGGGAGGACCAGGCTGGACCAGGGAGGACCAGGCTATACCAGGAGGACCAGGCTGTACCAGGGAGGACCAGGCTGTACCAGGGAGGACCAGGCTGGACCAGGGAGGACCAGGCTGGACCAGGGAGGACCAGGCTGTACCAGGAGGACCAGGCTGTACCAGGAGGACCAGGCTGTACCAGGAGGACCAGGCTGTACCAGGGAGGACCAGGCTGTACCAGGGAGGACCAGGCTGGACCAGGGAGGACCAGGCTGTACCAGGGAGGACCAGGCTGTACCAGGGAGGACCAGGCTGGACCAGGGAGGACCAGGCTGTACCAGGAGGACCAGGCTGTACCAGGAGGACCAGGCTGGACCAGGAGGACCAGGCTGTACCAGGGAGGACCAGGCTGTACCAGGGAGGACCAGGCTGTACCAGGGAGGACCAGGCTGTACCAGGGAGGACCAGGCTGTACCAGGGAGGACCAGGCTGTACCAGGGAGGACCAGGCTGTACCAGAGAGGACCAGGCTGTACCAGAGAGGACCAGGCTGGACCAGGGAGGACCAGGCTGGACCAGGGAGGACCAGGCTGGACCAGGGAGGACCAGGCTGGACCAGGGAGGACCAGGCTGGACCAGGGAGGACCAGGCTGGACCAGGGAGGACCAGGCTGTACCAGAGAGGACCAGGCTGTACCAGAGAGGACCAGGCTGTACCAGGGAGGACCAGGCTGGACCAGGGAGGACCAGGCTGTACCAGGGAGGACCAGGCTGGACCAGAGAGGACCAGGCTGGACCAGGGAGGACCAGGCTGGACCAGGAGGACCAGGCTGGACCAGGGAGGACCAGGCTGTACCAGGGAGGACCAGGCTGTACCAGGGAGGACCAGGCTGTACCAGGGAGGACCAGGCTGTACCAGGGAGGACCAGGCTGTACCAGGGAGGACCAGGCTGGACCAGGGAGGACCAGGCTGGACCAGGGAGGACCAGGCTGGACCAGGGAGGACCAGGCTGGACCAGGGAGGACCAGGCTGGACCAGGGAGGACCAGGCTGGGCCAGGGAGGACCAGGCTGGGCCAGGGAGGACCAGGCTGGACCAGGGAGGACCAGGCTGTACCAGGGAGGACCAGGCTGTACCAGGGAGGACCAGGCTGTACCAGGGAGGACCAGGCTGTACCAGGAGGACCAGGCTGGACCAGGGAGGACCAGGCTGGACCAAGGAGGACCAGGCTGGGCCAGGGAGGACCAGGCTGGACCAGGGAGGACCAGGCTGGGCCAGGAGACACGAGCGTGAGGGCCAGACACGACACGCTGCTATACCATCGCATTATGAGGCAAGTCATGAGCCTTACCGTCAGAAATAATTAGATTTAGGGATGAGGGGAAGCTTGTACTGCCACGCCCTACTGGGCTAAGTGAGTGGCTGCTGGCACGGTCCTGCCCCACCTGCACCTGGCACCCCCCCCCACCTGCACCTGGCTCCCCCCCCCACCTGCACCTGGCTCCCCCCCACCTGCACCTGGCTCCCCCCCCCACCTGCACCTGGCCCCCCCACCTGCACCTGGCTCCCCCATACCTACACCTGGCTCCCCCCCCCACCTGCACCTGGCCCCCCCCCACCTGCACCTGGCTCCATCCCCCCACCTGCACCTGGCTCCCCCCCACCTGCACCTGGCTCCCCCCCACCTGCACCTGGCTCCATCCCCCCACCTGCACCTGGCTCCCCCCCCCACCTGCACCTGGCCCCCCCACCTGCAGCTGGCTCCCCCATACCTACACCTGGCTCCCCCCCCACCTGCACCTGGCTCCCCCCCACCTGTACCTGGCTCCCCCCCCATCTGCACCTGGCTCCCCCCACCTGTACCTGGCTCCTCGCCCCACCTGCACCTGGCTCCAACCCCCCACCTGCACCTGGCTCCCCCCCACCTGTACCTGGTTCCCCCCCACCTGCACCTGGCTCCCCCCACCTGTACCTGGCTCCCCCCCCCCACCTGCACCTGGCTCCCCCCACCTGTACCTGGCTCCCCCCACCTGCACCTGGCTCCCCCCCACCTGTACCTGGCTCCTCCCCCCACCTGCACCTGGCTCCATCCCCCCACCTGTACCTGGCTCCCCCCACCTGAACCTGGCTCCCCCCCCACCTGCACCTGGCTCCCCCACACCTGTACCTGGCTCCTCCCCCCACCTGCACCTGGCTCCCTCACCTGCACCTGGCTCCCCCCCCCACCTGCACCTGGCTCCCCCCCCACCTGCACCTGGCTCCCCCCCCACCTGCACCTGGCTCCCCCCCCACCTGCACCTGGCTCCCCCCCACCTGCACCTGGCTCCCCCCCACCTGCACCTGGCTCCCCCCCCACCTGCACCTGGCCCCCCCACCTGCACCTGGCTCCCCCCACCTGCACCTGGCTCCCCCATACCTTCACCTGGCTCCCCCACCTGCACCAGACTCCCCCACCTGCACCGGGCTCCTCCCACCCCCCACCTGCACCTGGCCCCCTCCCACCTGCACCTGGCTCCCCCCCCACTTGCACCTGGCCCCCCACCTGCACCTGGCTCCCCCCCCCACCTGCACCTGGCTACCCCCCCACCTGCACCCCCCACCTGCACCTGGCTCCCCCCCCCACCTGCACCTAGCTCCCCCCCCCCACCTGTACCTGGCTCCTCCCCCCACCTGCACCTGGCTCCCCCCCCCACCTGCACCTGGCTCCCCCCCCCCACCTGCACCTGGCTCCCCCCCCCCACCTGCACCTGGCTCCCCCCCCCCCCCACCTGCACCTGGCTCCCCCACCTGCACCTGGCTCCCCCCCACCTGTACCTGGTTACCCCCACCTGCACCTGGCTCCCCCCCACCTGTACCTGGCTCCCCCCCACCTGCACCTGGCTCCCCCCACCTGTACCTGGCTCCCCCCCCACCTGCACCTGGCTCCCCCCCACCTGCACCTGGCTCCCCCCCACCTGTACCTGGCTCCTCCCCCCACCTGCACCTGGCTCCATCCCCCCACCTGCACCTGGCTCCCCCCCCACCTGCACCTGGCTCCCCCACACCTGTACCTGGCTCCTCCCCCCACCTGCACCTGGCTCCCTCACCTGCACCTGGCTCCCCCCCCACCTGCACCTGGCTCCCCCCCCCACCTGCACCTGGCTCCCCCCCACCTGCACCTGGCTCCCTCCCACCTGCACCTGGCTCCCCCCCCCCCACCTGCACCTGGCTCCCCCCCTTACCTGCACCTGGCTCCCCCCACCTGCACCTGGCTCCCCCCCACCTGCACCTGGCTCCCCCCCCCACCTGCACCTGGCTCCCCCCCCCACCTGCACCTGGCTCCCCCCCACCTGCACTTGGCTCCCCCCCCACCTGCACCTGGCTCCCCCCCCACCTGCACCTGGCTCCCCCCCCACCTGCACCTGGCTCCCCCCCCACCTGCACCTGGCTCCCCCCCCACCACCTGCACCTGGCTCCCCCCCCCCCACCTGCACCTGGCTCCCCCCCCCCCACCTGCACCTGGCTCGACCCCCCCCACCTGCACCTGGCTCCCCCCCACCTGCACCTGGCTCCCCCCCCCCCCACCTGCACCTGGCTCCCCCCCACCTGCACCTGGCTCCCCCACAAGGGAGTGTTCTGGCATGACTAGTGTTCCAGGGAGTGTTCCAGTGTACTAGAGCTTGACTGTAGTGTTCCAGGGAGTGTTCCAGTGTACTAGTGCATGACTGTGGTGTTCCAGGGAGTGTTCCAGTGTACTAGTGCATGACTGTAGTGTTCCAGGGAGTGTTCCAGTGTACTAGTGCATGACTGTAGTGTTCCAGGGAGTGTTCCAGTGTACTAGTGCATGACTGTGGTGTTCCAGGGAGTGTTCCAGTGTACTAGTGCATGACTGTGGTGTTCCAGTGTACTAGTGCATGACTGTAGTGTTCCAGGGAGTGTTCCAGTGTACTAGTGCATGATTGTAGTGTTCCAGGGAGTGTTCCAGTGTACTAGTGCATGACTGTAGTGTTCCAGGGAGTGTTCCAGTGTACTAGTGCATGACTGTGGTGTTCCAGGGAGTGTTCCAGTGTACTAGTGCATGACTGT